CCCCCCCCCATTATTTTCTTAAACAGCAGCATTTTGTGTATATGCATTCTGTTTTGTATTTTATACAGTCAACTTGGTAATGAACTTTTTAAAAAATTAATTGGTGTATCGCATCAGGCGTGCAACTTAAGGCTACGTGAAAAAGGGTTATTTGCTCAGTGCGTGCAGATATTTGTGACATGGTTAAATTTTAAATGTGGCAGTGCTTCTGGCTCTCTTGGACTCACGTCAGCCCTAGAGAAAGGATCCTCTGTTTTTCTCCATTTCATGTTCCTGGTTTGATTTTTTGCTACCACTGTGCCGTTCTAAAAATACTATTACGTCGCTCATTTCATTTTGTCGTTGTCTCCCAAACGAAAGAACTCTCCGTAAATATTTTTGGAAATGTTAAAAAAAAATAAATACATACATAAAGGGTGCTTCTCAAGCGGAAGGAATCTGACTCCAGACAAAAAGTCAGAGATAGGGAATCAAGCCTTACCATCTGCTGGTTTTTTCCATCCATGAGTTAAATAAGTCATTCCACCTTTATAGTTGTAGGTGCCTCGTGCTTTCAACTTTTTAAAAGTTAAATTTTGACTCCTCACGGCCAGTGGGTGCCCAAGTGGACTCACGGGCTACAGCCAGTGAGCTATACCGTGTGACCCAAGGAAAGTCTGCTTTGGGCTCTTCAAGCCCAGGCATGTCTTGTCCAGGCCCTAATTCCTGAGTGGCAATAGAATTGGATTTCCAACAACTCTATATTTCTCTTTTCTTCCTGAATCTGTGTTCTTATTTACGATTCTGAATGCTGGCCGAATTTGGTTCTGGTTCCAATTTGTGCTCTGCCAATATGTTACTCCTTATTTGTGGCAGCCATGGTGTGCAGATCCCACCATGGCCCCCATGATTTCTCTTCCCTGTTCGCATCCTGCATAATCCCCTCCTTTTGAGTGTGGCTTTCAGTGTGTGGCTTATTTCTAGCTTGCAGAATGCGGCAAGCATAAAGAGATGTTGTGGATACTTAAGATTCCCAGATCAACTGATTTTGAGCTGATTGAAAAGGACACTATCCCTTATGGGCCTGGTGTCATCAGATTAAGCTTCAAAAGACTATCTGGGCCTCCCTTGAGTGAGACACTCTTGCTGGCCTCCAAGAAGTAAGCAGCCGTGTGATGAAGTGCTTACGGAAAGGGCCACAAGAAAAAGGTATTCTGCCAACAACATGAATGGACTTGGAAGTGGATTCTTCTCCAGTCAAGCCTGGAGATGAGGACACAGTATCGTCAAAATGTTGATTTCAACTTGGTGAGATCTTGAAGCGGAGAACACAGCTACGCTTTGCCCAGACTCCTGACCCCAAAACACTGTGACATAATAAATGTGTGTACATGTGGTTGTTTAAATCCAGGCCACCAAGTTTCCGGTCATCTGCTGCACAGAACTCACAAGTGAATACAGTGACAGTGATTCAGAATTTGGTGTGTTGGTCTATTTGATACAGAAGATCTTTCTTCTCTCGGGTGAGACATGTTCCACAGTTTGGTTTGCTAGGTTTTTTTTTTTTAATTTATCTGTTTTGTCTGTTTATGCAAGAATGTATCTTGCTTCTCCCGGAAAGGAGAATGTCTGTATTAGTGAATTTGAGATCTGTGCTAGTGAACTTGTGTCTTCTCTATCTATTCTGTCCTGGGGCTGATGTTGTACCAAGAAACAAGCCCTCTGTCTCTGTTTGCAATTGACACAAGCCTCTGCTTGTTCGTATGGGTATGAAATGTTTACCTACCTCTAAGAATGTTAATAAAATAGATTATAAAGTCTCTTATATGAAGTGGCAGGGGAAGATAGAGATGCCATTTGGAGCCTTAGAAAGGCCACCTATAGGAGGAAATAGTGTAAGCCCTGAGAAACAATTCTGGGCCTGCCACTGGGCATTAGTACAGACTGAATGCTTAACCATGAGCAACCAAGTTACCATGTGACCTGAGCTTCCCATCATGAATGGGTGTTATCTAACCCACTGGGCCATAAATTTGGCCATGGACAGTGACACTCATCATATTATGGAAGCGATATATATGTGATACAGGGCCTAAGCAGGTCCCAAAGGCAC